GACAACTGGGAAGATAGAAATATACCAGCTGGATTTTACCAGAACCTTTGCAAATTTGGTGGATGGAATGTAACAATGAGTATGATGATTTAGTAAGGCCAGGTAAAGGTGTCTACCTTCTGATCACCTCCCATATTTTTGTGACAGTCACTAAAACCTAGAATTGAAAAAAAAAGAAAGCTGTCCTGAGAGAGCCAGGTCCTCCATTCAGACGGGGTCTCACTGTGTTGCCCAGGCTGGAGTGCGGTGGCACAATCTTGTTTCTCTGCAGCCTCCACCTCCCTGGGCTCAGTTGTTTTTGTAGAGATGGGGTCTCACTATGCTGCCCAGGCTGATCTCGAACTCCTGGTCTCAAGCCATCCTACCCCCTCTTCCTGAGAAAGTGCTGGAATTGCAGGCGCTGAGCCACCGTGCCTGCAAATAGATATTTCACAATGTTAAATCAATTTTCATAAATTCATGCAGCAGAGTTTGGCATAATCTTGGCTCACTGCAATCTCTGCGTCCCGGGTTCAAGTGATTCTCCTGCCTCAGTCTCCCAAGTATCTGGGTGCCCACCACCATGCCTGACTAATTTTTGTAGTTTTAGTAGAGACCATGTTTTAGTTTAGAACAATTTTGGTTTCACCATGTTCACAAACTCCTGACCTCAGGTGATCCTCCCGCCAGTCTCCTGAGTAGCTGGGACCACAGGCATGGGCAACCAGGCTTGGCTAATTTTTTTATTTTTTGTGATAGTGTAAAATTTGCTGGAAAATGTGGTTGATTTCACTTTTAATTCTTTTCAGTTGGGCACGATGGCGCACACCTGTAATCCCAGAACTTTGGGAGGCCAAGTTGGGCAGATCACCTGAAGTCAGGGTTTGGAGACGTGCCTGGCTAACATGGTGAAACCCTTTCTCTACTAAAAATACAAAAAGTAGCCAGCTGTGGTGGCATGTGCCTGTAATCCCAGCTACTTGGGAGGCTGAAGCAGGAGAATCACTGGAACCTGGGAAGTGGAGGTTGCAGTGAGCTGAGACCACACCATTGCCCTCCAGCCTGGTCAACAGAGTGAGAGTCTGCCTCAAATAAAAATCTTTTCAGTGTTTTCTTGGGGCAGGTGCGGTACTCACTAAGTATGGCTGTGCTGAGATGGGTGCTCCAGAATGCTTTCGGAGGGAGGTCAGAAACACCCAGAGCCTGCTCCTTCCCCCGCTCTCACCGGGGCCTGCCGCCACCCCCGTTCTCCACCCAAGACCAGACCCTTCTCCTGGCAGCAGCCAGAGTGCCCATTTCCCAGCCAGGGCGGGTCACAGCCTCCTCAAAGACCTCCAACCGCACCCCTCCACCCAGACTTCACAACCTCCCCATACCTCCCACCCTCTTTGACCCCTCTATCCACCCACCCTCTGATCCATTCGTTGGCCTCCCAGAGCACCTGCTGGCACTGCCTCAGGGCCTTTGCGCTGCTGTGTTGCCTCGCTCAAGCCCCCACTCTGCAGGTCTCTTGCTCAACCATCTGCTCCTCAGCACCCAGCCCCTCCTGACCTGCGTTATCCACCCCTGTAGACACCGTGCCCACAGGCACTCATGATTTTTCTCCTAGGAAGTAGTAGTGGCATTGCATTGTCTAACACTTCCATTCCATTTATTTATTTATTATTTATTCTGAGACGGAGTCTCACTCTGTTGCCCAGGCTGGAGTGCAGTGGCACAACCTCAGCTCACTGCAACCTTTGCTGCCTGGGTTCAAGCGATTCTCCTGCCTTGGCCTCCCAAGTACCTGGGACTACAGGCATGTGCCACCAGGCCTGGCTAATTTTTTGTGTTTTTAGTAGAGATGTGGTTTCACCATGTTATCCAGGATGGTGTCGATCTCCTGACCTCGTGATCTGCCCGCCGCGGCCTCATAAAGTGCTGGGATTACTAACACTTCCTTTTATTATTGCTTTGCCTCCCAGGAGAACGGAGCCCCCAGGGAGGCAGGGGAGTCTTCCTTGTTGAGAAATCTATACCCAGTGTCCAGAGACCTGCGGAGGGACCTTGGGTTCTGGGCTGCTGCCCTGCACCCAAATCTTCCCAGGAGTTTCTTGGATCTCAGTTGGGTGCTGAAATGGGCATTTGGGGTGTGGAACATATGAATAGTTGTGATTTGGGGTCCCTTGGAGGGGTGCAGGGGTGTGGAATTAGCCCAGTGGGGGCAGCCGAGGACTGAGTCAAAATCCCCCTGGGGATGTCCACCCCAGCAGCCTCCTTGACCAGCAGGGTGGCAGGAAGCCACGCTTCTCCAGGCATCCTGATGCTCAAAGTTCTCAAGTCCCACAGGTGATTCAAGGACTGAAGCAGAGATCAGCGAGGTGCGGGGTCTGGGTGCTGCTTTTCCCCAGGAAGAGAGCAGAGCCTGCCTTGTACTCATTGGGCTGTAGGTGGGGGCTGGATGGCCTGAGCCCCCTCCTTTCCTGGGGTGCAGGGAGCCGCAGGACACAACCCGCAGTCCCAGGATTTAGGGCAGGGAGTCCTGGAGCAGCCAAGGGGCAGGTTTGGTGTGGGGCTCAGTCCCCAGGGTACACGGGGAGGTGAAGGTTCCATGGCAAGACATCTGTGTGGAGACTCCAGGGGAGACAGCTCGGAATGGAGGCTGGGCAGGACACTGGAGGTGGGGAGCAGACCTCCGGGATGGGGAGGCAGGAGCCCCAGGGACAGGGCACTCAGGGAGCAGTGGCCGCCCCCAGCAGCAGCAGGATCCCAGCCAGCAGAGGTAGCCACTCAGGGACCATGGTGGGTCCTTTGTGCGAGGCATTGGTGGTGCTGGTGGGGGTGTCAAGGGGCAGACCGTGTAGGGCTCCGGGTAGGCTCTGAAGGCCATGACGTGCGCTATGAAGGTCTGCTCCTGCATGCCATGAACGAGGTGTGCCTGCAGGCCATGGGCAAAACAGCCAGGTCCTTGACTGCAGGAGTCTCTTCATCCAGGGGCACTGCTGACTGCTGCCAGTACTCGGGGCTCCCTGTAGGAGGGTTCAGTTGCAGGCAGACAGGAGGTGCCATCCAGTCCTCCATCCTTGGCACCCTGGTCCCCCTGGGAGGGCCACCCCGCGGCACTCACCGCTCTGGCTCTTGGTAACATCCAGCCGGGCGCCGTCTTTGAACACATAGCCGGGACCGTTTCCATATAGGAGATCCGTGTAGGCCTTCCCGTCCTGGGCCTCGCCGGGGGCCAGCCCTGCAGAGAGAGGGGTCCCGTGGTTGAGCTGAACACAGCTGTGGGAGTGCCTCCCTTGTGTTAGGCACTGCCACCTTTTGCTGGTCCGGAGCTTAGTCCTTGAGACCCTACAGGGCAGGTGCCAGCATTGCCTCTATTTGACAGAGAAGGAAACTGAGGCTCAGATTTCACCCACATAATTTATGGAGCAGTACCTGCCTCTCTGCCCAGGCCTACCGTAGACGGAGCTCCCTCGCAGGGGGTAGCCACCAAAGGAGAAAACGTGGGAGTGGTCAGCGGTGACGAGAGTCAGCGTGTCCTCCTCGCTGGTGAGCTGGCCCGCCCTCTCAATGGTGTCGTCGAACATGATCGTCTCAGTCAGTGCCCGGTAAGCCCTGCTTTCATGATGACCATGGTCGATGCGGCCGCCTGCAGGAAGGCCAGAGGGGGGTGATGCTTGAAACTGCCCTGCTCCAACCTCCTACTCCCACTCGCCAGGGGCCATCACACACCCTCGACAAAGAGGAAGAATCCTCGGGGGTTCCTGCTCAGCAGGCGTAGGGCGGCCTCCGTCATCTCCATCAGGGAGGGGTCTCGTGTGGGGTCTCGGTGGATCTCATATTTCATGTCTCCGGGCTCAAAGAGACCTGTGGGACAAGGGGTCCCGTGGTGACTGGCAGGTTGGGGGTGGGAGGGTGCTGGCAGACCTGCACACAGGCTTGGAAGATGCCATCTGAGGCCATACGAGGGGTGCCAGGGCAGAAAGGGGGTCATTACCCATGAGGTGGGTCACAGACGGGTCCAGGGAAGCCTGCATGAGCTCAGTGCGGTTCCACACGTACCGGGCACCCTGCAGGGACACAGCCAGGCCTGAGCCCACAGTCCTGAGCCCCACACCCCTGCACTCCCCCTGCTGTGCCCCCCTCACCCACCAGCCCCCATCACCTGGTGCTTCGACAGCCATTCCTGCACAAGGTTCTTCCCGTCCATTCTGATCCCGTCGTGGCTGTAGTTATGGGGGTACTCAGGGTCTGGGGTCCCCATTCGAAACATGTACTTTCGGCCTCCGCCTAGGATCACCTGGGGACAGAGGATGGGACAGGTGGGTTTGGGGTCTGGCTGGCCCGATGCCACTTCCTCATGCACAGCCCTTGGCTCCCCTCCCCAGGGCTGTGGAAAGGGTCCCGCCAGGGTTGCACGTTCTACGTCTCCAGCCTCCAGACCCTGCTGTTCCAATTAGGCTGTTGGTTGCCTGGGTCTGAGCTGGTGCCCACTGCTACTGTCTATCCAGCCCCAGCCCGTGGCCTTGGGGTCTCACGTCAATGTCCATGTTGGAGATGAGCTGCGTGGCAATGTCCCGGCAGCCCTCCCTGAGGACGGAGAAAGGCATGTTGGAGTCCGAGTACCAGTTGCGGTTCACCGTGTGTGCGTAGGCACCGGCTGGCGAGGCGTGCTGCACCCGTGTGGTGGTCACCACTCCCACGGACTTCCCTGAGGGTGACAGAGGTCAGGATATGCGACAGAGGTCTGTGACCTGGCCCTGACCCTGCAGCGGGCCCCAGCTCACCTGCCTTCTTGGCCCGGTTCATCACGGAGACAACCTCATTGCCGCGGGTCGTGTTGCACTGGTTAAAGCGGGCGGCTGCGCTCAAGCCGATGGTCTGGAAGTTGCCCTTGACCCCACACAGGTAGGCCGTGGCTGTGGCTGCGCTGTCTGGCACATGCTTGTCTACGCTGTATGTCTGGGGACAGAGACACTCTGGGCTCTTCTCTGGGGCAGACACCCAGATCCAGACCATGATCTCTGTCCTCTGGGATTGCAGCTGCCTCCAGCTCTTACTCCAGCCCCAGCAGTTTAGGGTCCCTCCCTCCTCCCGCCCTCCATAGCCAGGATTCCTCTTCTCTGCTTGGAGGACTCCGAGGTGGCCCAGCCCTCACCTTGGACAGAGCCACGTATGGGAAGCGGTCCATGGCCAGGGGCGTCTCTGGTCCCAGTTTGCCCTTCTTCTGCCCCTTTAGGATCCTGGCGGCTGTCACCGTAGACACCCCCATCCCTGAAGGAGCAGAAATGTGTGAGGCTTGGGCCCCAGGGCTGTCCTGGAACCACCGACGGTCCGGGTGCCGGGGCTGCCAGGGCTGCGGGCTGGACAGCCTTGCTTACTCACCGTCGCCCAGGAAGAGGATGAGGTTCTTGGTGGCTGTATGTGTGGGCTGCAGCTTCTTGGCGGCATCCAGGGCCTTGGCTGCCTGACGGTTCCAAAAGGCCGGGTTCTCCTCCTCAGCTGGCCAGGGGGAGAGCAAAGATCAGGTCAGCCTGGACTTGGGGGTGCCCTGTGTGTAGGGGCAACAGGAGAGCCCCATTACCTGGGATGATGCCCAGGGAGAGTTGCAGCTTCAGGCCCAGCAGCAGCAGCAGCAGCGCCCAGGGTCCCTGCATGTCTGGAGTAGCAGGCGAGCGGTGAGGCGGGAACACCGGGTATGGAGTAGGCACTGCACTCCAGGCCGCCTGGGTTTAAATCCTGGAGAAGTGTCCGGGGGCCCTCCCCTTGTTGCCACCTTGACCCCACCCAGCCTCTTAATTGAAGCCACACTGTCTTAAGGGAGTGGCAGGGTGTGGCTGGGCTGGGCTGGGGTCCTGAAACAGGCGGCTCAGGGTGGGACCAGGTGTCCCCCAGGGAAGGGTGGGCTGTTGGGTGCAGATGCCATCTGAGTGAGTGTGCTGTTCCTCCTGCAGCCAGGAGCCCGCCCCCCACCCCTGCTCATTGTCTTGTGTGGAACAAGACACCCTGTCCCTCATTCATTCACCCATTGATTTCTGTATTTCCTGGGAGCTGGGGCCAGGCTCTGTTTTGGTGCCGAGAGGAGGGGAAGCTGGAGGCACACAGCTTGGGCCAGGGCCTGGGTTAGCGTCCTGATACCGGGAGCCTGGGCCATGCGGGAAAGGGCTACGTGGGGGCCTTGCTGCCCTGGCACCCCCTTGCTCCGTCATCTGGTCTTGGCCTGAACAGGTGGGACTGGCAGGAATCTGGGCCCAGAGCTCCAGGGCTGTGAGCTCCTGTGGGGACAATGGTGACAACACTGAGCGGGGCCACACCAGTCTTGCCCATTGCTCACATGTGTGTGATTATGTGTTTTCGTGGGTGCACTCGCACTGATGTTTGGATGATGCAGGTGGGTAGAGTCCAGCGCCCTGGGCCACCCAGGCCTGGGCTGCATCTTCCAGAGCGGCTTGTGCACTTGAGGTTGATGCCTGTTCCCTTGCACAGGTAGATGGAGCCTGGTGCCAGTCTGTTTTCCATGGGCCCTGGGCACACCCAGAACTGTAGCCTCTCACATGCGGCTCTGATGTTTTGATAGCCTCGGGCTGACTTAGAAAGTATTTCTCCAGTTCACATATGCCCCCATCACTTTTTTTCTTCCAGGTTTTTATTACTAATTTATGTTTTTGAGACAGGGTCTGGCTGTGTCACCCAGGCTGGAGTGAAGCAGTACAATCACGCCACACCTCCCAGGCTCCAGCGATCCTCCCACATTGGCCTCCCATGTATCTACATTACATGCAGCTCATTTGTAATGCTTTTGAGAGGCAGGATCTCCCTATGGTACCCATGCTGGTCTTGATCTCCTGGGTTCAAGTGATCCTCCAGCACTGCTAGGATTGCAGACTTGGGCCACCAATCTGGGCCCACATTCAGGAGAAATGTGTCTGGAGAGGAAGCAGAGTGCCCAAGGGTGGGCAAAACAGACCTCTGTCCTCATGGAGGGCACAATCTAGCGGCAGAGGAATGTTTTGAGAGATGTACCAAGCACTGGCCATCAAATTGTGGGAGTTGCTGGACTAGGACAAGGGGTAGGAAGGCCTTTCCTAGAAAGTGTGGTTGGGGCTGAGAATTAGGGATAACTAGGAGTTAGGCTGATGAAGGAGGTGAGGTGGGGACGGGAGGAGAAACGGTCTGTCTCTGTCCGAGATCACCCTG